GGCGCCCGCGTGGAGGCGGCGGGAATGATTTTGCGGCGGCTGCTGCCTGTGTATTGCTTGCCCGCTTCCACCGCTGCACACGCACACGTCCCTGACACGCACATGCGTGCGCACACACATACGTGCACACGTGCACGCACACCCCGTACATGCACACATCCCTTACGTGCACGCCATGTGTGCACATGCACGGGTGTGCCCACACACCCCATACGTGCACACAACCCTTACACACATGCACGCACACAATCACACCCCATACGTGCACACAGCCTGTGCGCACACACCCCTTGCACCCACACGCACTCCCCTGGCACACCCCACACGTGTGTCCCCTGCATACACATTCTCCATCTCCATGCACACCCTTGCCCCTCTCCCTCCCGGGAAGGCTCCCAGCTTCTCGTTTCCAGCCTGCCAGAGCCATGCGCCAGATGATTGTGTGCTAGCCTGGCTGAGGGCAGGTAGCACTGGCCTCCGGTTCTAGCCCAGCGACTGGGATTTCTTTTCTCTGCTGACTAGTTGTTGAACCCCCCCCCCCAACCGAGACACCCTCCTGGAGCCTGGGGGCTCCAGGCAGAAGTGGGGGAGGGAGGCAGGACGGTAGCAACTGTGTCCCTCGGTGCTTGGAGTAAATAAGGCAGTGTGCCTCCGTGTTGCTATGCTTCGCCGCGACATCGCTTGTCATCGTCTCCTCCCTCTCCTCTTCTCCGAGGCCAAGACATGCACCAGTCTCTCCCCGTTGCATGCCAGAGCCTGGCACAAAGCAAGGGGGTCGACAAACCTGCCAACTGCTCCAGCCTTTCCCTCGGAGCCCAGGGAGGAGCCCCCCCTCAGCTGCCCCCCACCTGGGGGTATAGAGGAGCTGTAGCAAGGACAGCCAGCCCCCTTTTTCAGGCCTCAGGCATCGGTCTCTTCAGCTCGGTTCTGGAGAGGGTGGAATAGAGGCACCTGGGAGCCACGGATACCCCGGGTCAGGCATTCAGGGCCTGGGAGCATGGGTGGGAAACGTCTTTTGTGGAGGGCTGGGGATGCTCAGAGGCTGTTGGCAAGGAAGAGGCAGGTCTAGGGAAGCCAGGTGCTCCAGTTCATGTGGGTTCAGGAAATACTGATGGCCACTAGCCTCGGGGGAACAGCAAAAGGTGCTCAACTCCCTGGCTCCAATGGCCCCTTCCCTCAGAGGAGGCAGGGTCCGCTTAGCTCGATGCCAGTCAGGCGGTCCGTGTCTGGCTGCGAAGACACCTGTATTCCTAGCAAAGCCAGGGGAGTGTAGCCTGCATGAAAAAGGCAAGGGTTGGAGCTTTTAAATGACTGAATCCTAATCACAGCAGGGCTACAAACCTGGTGCTGGCCAAACACCGCGATGCCCTGACTGAGTACAGGCTTCTCTGCTCATGGGAAATCTGGATTCACCAAGAGGCCCGTGTCCTGAACGTCATTCCCCCTCCCATGCTTCCTTCTCCCCCTCGGGGACAGAAATGTGCAACCTCGCCCCCTCCCCTCCTGGGTCTGTCTACACTGCAGCCACTGCGGTGACTGCGGCTAGTGTGTCGGCTTCCCTGAGCCTGCCCCACCGGTCCTGGGGACGGCTAGCAGCGCAGCCGTGGTAGAGCTCACGGGCCTGAGGGTTTCCCCCCAGCTTCTCGGGCAGGTTCCAGCGGCGCGCGGAGCTCTGTGCTGCTGGGACAACGCTGCGAGCTAGACCTGAGCCGGCTGGCTCCAGGCGAGCTCAGGTGAGCCTGCAGGCATGGCCGTCACGGGCTGGACTGCAGCGGAGACACTCCGTGTTTGAAAACTCCCTGCCCCTGCACAAGGAGACCCGGGAGGGCAAAACCTCAGGTGTCTCGCAGTGCAAGCTCCTGCCTTTTACATCTATTAAACCATCCATCCACTCTGCTTTCTTTCCGGTGTGGGACCTGCATTTCCCCTCCTCCCTTCCCTCCTGGCCATCCTGCTCCTTATCTTCTCCCCTAGCCGTACGGCTGTCATGTCAAAACAAGGTGGCTGCCGATTGCTATCATGGGGGGAGCTGCGATAACACCGGGGCTCTTTATGAAGCAGCATCATTAGAAGCCCGATAAGATCCCACAAGCGCAATTGAATTGGAAGTGGCTTGTTAAGCAGGACCCTTACTACCCAGACAGCACAGATCTGATCTGGCAGTGAGCTATGGTGACTGTCACGTGCCCCCGGAGATGGGTCCCAGGCGTGGGCAGCGGAGCGGCCGAGGGGAAAACAATGGAGGCAGGAGGCTAGCGGTGTGCCAGGCTGCCCCTGCGCTCCACTGCATTGGCACGCTCGGTTTGGCGGCCCCGCTCGGCTCCTGCTGACATCCAGCCTGAGCTGCCAGCTGAGAGGAAGGGGCTGTGGCCCCGAGCTCTGTGAGTTCAGTACCTAAATTAGCCACACGGGGAAGGAAGCAAGGAGTTATTGGGCCGAGGGGGATACGCCTGCAAGCCGTACCAAGAAATTAGGGACGGGGAAACATTTCTGCCGAAGCATCAGGAAGGAACTTTGCTGACAGCGAGATCTAGTAGCCCGCATAATCGTCTCCCCGGGGGAGCAGGATGGGGGAGCCCTCCTCACTCAGCACATTTTAAACCAGGCCGGGGAGGCGCTCCCTCCCTGGCCCTCCCTGCTTGGCCTAGATGGGCTCCTTTCTGCCTCGAGGCTGGCTTACGCTAGCTGAGGCTCTGGCCTGTACCCCCAGCCTTTCCTCTCTGCTCCCATTCTCCAAAACAGCCCCAAGCTCCGCCACCCAAGCAGTGCCAGGGGGGACCTCTGTGGGGCTGGGGGTCAGGCTGGATGGGCGTCTCTAAGGCTGGGCGCTTCTGGGAGCTGTTTGTCACCTGCAGCAGTTAAAATCCAGGGGACCTGATCGGAGTGGCTTTTCTGGAAAGGTTCCCCAGCATCCTCCCCGCTGATGGCAGGGCTCTAGTTTCATTGAATAAACATATGCCCTGGCTCTGTAAGGACCTGGGGCAGTAATAGCAGCTTGGGTAGCAGAGCCATGATACCCCTTTGGAAAATGACCCCCAGGGAAAATGGCAAATGAGATTGTGATTGGCTGCGAGAGGCCCAAACAGGAAGGGAATCTCTGTGACCTTCCTGTCTTTGCATGCAGCAGACCCCAGAATGGCGTGCTAGGGTGGCCCTGCAGACAGAAAGATGCTCTGGTTTGATCCCTGTTGGAAATGCCCCAAGAACAGGCTTGTTTGGTGTTTCTACCTCAGCCCTCTTGTTTCCAGGGGAAGGCTGGTGTTGGGAGGTTGCCATAATGCTAGAAGCACTGGATGGAGGGGAGAAGGTGGAGGGATGTCTCGGGACCCTGGCTTAGGCCAAGGCTGGGTTGCAGGCTCCCCAGGGAGGAATGCTGTTTCCACCCACTCCAGCTGGGGTGGGGGTAAAGGCTGCTTCAGGGCACATGACCAAAAATTAGTGACCGTGGGGTCAAAGTGGGGAGGGATCAGCTGTGTGTCTAAGTGGCTATATGCACGCTTTTACCCTGTTGTAGCTGAGAGAGATGCACAGTGGCTCAGACCTCAATGAAAAGACTTCTGCCTACTGTGGGGCAGGAGCGCAGAGATCGGAGGCAGTAACTCACTTGCGTATCCAGGGCACTGTGCCCTCCGAGGTACCCTGCTGCACTGTCATGCATAGCAAGGCTGAGTCACCTTGAGCCAATCCTTCCTATAACCGAGGCCTTTGCTATCAGGCTAATTTCTCCTCAGTGTTTCTGAGCAAATGGGGTTACCTGGGAACATGGCTGTCCGGCTGCTCCTGGCTGGCTTAGGGAGGACCATAGAGCCGTGCTGTTTGTCACCAGCTCAGGATCCGGCTCCTGGAGCCACGCAGCAATGTCTGAGGGCACCGCGTGAAGGGCTCGCTAATTAATTCCTTGCATGCAGAAACTCGCTGTAACCAGTCCCCCCCTGCAAGCCAGCCCTTTTTGCCTGGAAACACAATGGAGATCTGTGTTGCACTTGGATTTCATTGGCAATGAGGTGTGAGCCACCCGAGCACTGATTGATGATACATCCTCCTGCCTCTCGCCAGAGTGGGAGGCACCGGTGACTTTGTCTGATTCTGCTAAACAGCCTCTTGGAAATGAAATTGCCGTTCTCCGGGGAAATAGCTTCTTCTGCTCTTTGCATTGGGAACTATGACTTCCTTTTCACCTCTGACAAGAGGAGCCCAGGACAGGGAGAACTCTACACCTTGGTAATCAAAGGGGTGGGGGGGATGTTTTGCTCTTGTTGGGTTGCAACTAGAGGAAGGTCAAATTCAGTTGGACCAAACCTTGCTGTAAAAGGAAGGATGACCTTGTTGGTCAAGCTCTGGACCGAGACGTAGGTGATCCAAGGTCAGTTCCTCCCTTGGTGACAACAGGCTGATAAATGGAGCAGGTGACAGCTCTTGGCACTGTTATTTCTGACTAGCTGCAAACTCAGGCAGGGGGGTGGAAGCTTCTGCATCTCGCCTCTGCCAGCCTGCAACACTCATGGTTTTTGAGTAATGGACATAGGGGCGTCTGCTCCAAGGCATCTTCATCCTGCCTTCCTGCAACCCCTGCTTGGACCCAGTGCCTAGACCTCACCTGTGCGCCTCATCCCTGACCCCCTGCTCTTCCTTCTGGAGAAACCCTACAACCCTCCTACCTTGCTTCTCTGCCAGTGCCTCCGGCCTTGTTCCAGTCCTGCCCTGCATCCTTTCCCAGCAGCATTTCCAGGACCCCCGAGCCAGGCGGGCACCACTCCTTGCTACTGCAGGACGGCTGTGCATTTTGAATGCGGCTCATGCATCCCAACCCCCACTTTTTCCAGGGCACAGAAAATGAGAAGCCAGAAAGAGAGTGAGAGTATGAGCTGTTTAAAAGCCTGAAGCTGTTCCAGGGCATCAATCAGTTTATAGGCAGTGAAATATATACGTGCAGGTTTGGAGATTGTTGATGGGGTAGAGGATTTTGTGATAAATATATTTATTGCAGGTTTTGTAAAAGGCTGTTCCAATGAGTGGGTTTTAGTAAGGCAATAAATGGTCAAGAAAATTGCTCCGATTGGATCGCCAAGCATCTAAAACTGGAAGACGGGGTGGGGGGGGGCGTGCAGCTGATGGCCCCTCAGCCATCCAGGCAGTGGCCAGCGGTGAGCAAGGAGGGGTGGTCTGTGGTTGGTAACATGAGGCTGACGTTATGGGGATCACAGCCCCAGCCGCAGCATGGATGGAGGTCTGTGGTAAGCACAGCACATGCACATAGTGAGAGATGGTCTTTACTGCAAGCAGCATACAAGGGTTGGGCAGAAACAGAGGCGTGGAGAGGGAAAGTGATTTGCCCAAGGTCACATAGCTAAGGTAGAAAGCCCAGGCATCCTTCTACCTGGCCTGGTGCCCTGCCCACTGGGCCACGTGGCCTCTCTTGATTCTGTATTGCCCTCCCAAGTTCGTACCCAGTTCTCCTATGAGCCACAGCCCTTTGCACCTACGCCCATGACGCTGACTTGGACATCTGGGCATTGGCACATTAGGTGGTCCCTCCTGCCCAGTTTGGGGAGCCCATTAGACATAAAGGGCCTGATTCTGATCTCGCCAGCAGAGGCATAAATCAGGAGTCGGCACCACTGAATTCATGCAAGAGAATCAGGCCTGTACCTGCAGCTTACACTCATGGGGGCTGAAATTCAGCCCCATGCTGAGTAGTGAGGCCCACGTCATTGCCCTGTGTGCATCCCATTGAGCCTTTCTTTTGAAGCCATTGAAATGGTGCTTGGGTATTTGGCCACGGGTGAAGTTCACCATCTCCTCACAAGCTGCCTGGACAATGGGGAAGGTGGGACATGCAGCTACTTTTTCCCTGACCCTCATTCCGATTTGCAAGTGAACTCCATTTAACCTTGGTCACCTCCCCCGTCTCTCCCCAAGTATTCTGGCCCATGAGCTCACTAGCAGGACAGGTAGTGGGGGGATATTAAAGACCACTTCTGGAAAGAGAAGTTTGAGTTCATAATCATGGCTGTTTGCAGGGGAAACTTTAGTCAAAGAATTCAGCTCCTCCAATCAGGGAGATAGAAGCATAGCATGCGATCGGTGTGTCCTATCTGAGCGGCTCGACTGTCTCGTGTTGAGTGCTTGGAACGAACTGTTTGCAAACAAGGTGCAGCCCAAGAAGGATGTGTAGCATCTCTTTGGCGAGTAATTCTGAATAACAAATAAATAGGGAAAAATTGGGATTTGTTCCCAGACAATTCACAAAGGGCCTAATTGGAACATAAGTGGTGCCTAGGCCTTGCGCCGGCTGGCTGTGCAGGGGTGCGTTCCTCCAAAGAGGGGAAAGCGGCGCGCTGAGTCAATAAATGACTTGCGGTAAATTATTCACCAGCTCTCCTCAAAATGAATGCCGTAGTCTTCTCCTCTCCCTTCCCCCTTCAGCACCTTATAAATACTCTGATATCATCCTGATCCCATGCAGACTCTAGCGGTGCCCATTCCAGTTAAGAGCCTATCCCAGGTTCTATTATGAAGTCGTATTTTGTGGCGTTTATAACCAGCCATAAAAATTCACTCCAAGATTAAACTTGGCATATGAGGTTTGAGCCTGGCTGTCTTTGCCTTCCTGTTTTTGTTGCCTCCTGTGACTTGAGTCAGTGTTCAAGTTCAGGCAAGGAAAATTGTTTTGTCCCAAGAAAGACTTTGGTGCTTGATTTGTTTTTAAAAGCTGTAGCCAGGAAGGAATTGGTAATTCAAGTGGGGGACATTCTGCATTTAAACCACTGCTTCCAAGTGCCTGGAAGGGGAACTCTGGGTTCCTGACTCTGACCTGCTCGTTCTGACCAAGGAGCCAAGCTCCCACAAAGTCGGGGAAAGAGTCCAGAGTCCCGCGCTCTTCTTCCCATTTCTAAATCACAAACTCAGGACTCTGCTCCAGACTGCACCCCAGGAGGAAAGTGGTACAAATATTTGACAACTTTGGTTTGGTGGCAGCGACACTGGAAGATAAAAAATTGTTTCAGGTGAACCTGAATAAAAATGTTGGGTTCTTTTTCTGTGGACATGAAAAGCTTGAGATGATATATTTATATGTATGTCTATATATGTATCTGTGGGTGTATTTATATATTATATATAATGTGTTTGGATAGATAGATAGATGTGTGTGTGTGTGTGTGTGTGTGTATATGTATATTTATATATACATATATGTATATGTGTGTGCATGAGTATGTGTGTGTATGTATACACATATAGTGTGTGCATGTGTGTGTATATATACACATATGCATATCTATATATACACGTGTGTGTGTGTGTGTGTGTGTGTGTGTGTGTGTGTGTTCAGTGGACTAGATCATTCAGTTTTATTTTCAGTGTCTTACTCCTTTTTTTAAAATCATTATTGCTTTCAGCTCAGTTTTTAAAACAAAACCTCTGACTTGACATAAAAATGTTTCGTTACAATAGTGCCAAAATAGACATTCTGATTTCTTTTCACTGGTTCCCCCTGAAAGCATTTCTTGCATTCAGCCTAAATTCACAGGGAGTTTGGGTATACCTGGGCCTTTCTTGTCGGTGAATAAGTTAGTCCAGTGAAAAATCTCACTCGGGACTAGTTTGGATGGACACCCATTCTCTGTCCCTAACTCCTATAACACGAGACTTTCCACAGCCAGATGTAGAAACTAGGAGTCTTGCCTTCCATTCTAGAGAGCTCCTAGGGAAAGAAGCCAGGAATCCTGAGCCCCACCCCAGGCTACTCTTTTTGGGAAGGAGTTTAAATGTAGAGCTGGCCTACACAGACAGTAACTCCCTGCAGGTGTTGCAGTGCCCGGGCAGCACAGCAGTAAGACCCAGGATATGCAGGGAATGATCTTTTCATCGCTCACCTTGAGCAGGATTAAATCCTGTCCTGAACACTGGAGAGGAGGAAGGAGCTGGGGCTGAGGCTGGCTGTATGGGATGCCCCTGGGTTTAGCTGAATCTCTCACTGACACCATAGTAAGCCAGAACTGCTCCAAAGGGTTACTGTGCGAACGATCCCTAGATTGCACTGGAGTGCCATATTCCACCATTGAGATCTTTTATTGTTCTTTCCTTTTCATTAAACTACTGTTTAAATAAGACAAAAGGAATCTCAATGACACTCTCCAGACATCTTTATGGCTTTTTAATTTTTTGTTGACTCCCTCTTTGTTTGTAAAAGCCCCTTGGGAGCCTCCACAAATATATTCCCCCCCCCCCCCTTGCCTGAGTTTTTCCTTTTCCATTTTGCAAATACTGAATTTCCTCCTCTTTTGTTTTCTCTTTTTAATGGAACTTGAAAAAAAAAAACTGGGGCTGTTTATGTAGAAGAGCGATAACTTATCATGCCTGGGATCTTGCGTCTGTTTAGGCACTAGTGCCACCAAAGCTGCTGTTGCTGCAACATGAAAAATAGTGTTGATTTTACTTTGCTGCTAGTGCAGAATGGGAGGGGAGATCAAAATGATGGTTTTTGTTTGGTGGTGGGGAACTTGTACTGC